TACTTGTAGTTCACTGGTTGTGGGAACAATAATGTTTATTTACTTTGCTTGTTTGGTACCTCGCTTGACAGTACAAGCGCAGCGCTACTGTATCTGTCGCTTGGATTCTGGCAAAGTTGCCAGTCTTCTTGATTTGAAGTCTTCGGTAATAGGTAAATATATTAAGAAAGTTGTCATTTACCCTTTTTAATCTATTTTTACAGGTGATTGCAGTCCAAAAAAAATCATTTTGTTTAATTAGAATATGCCTTCTTTAATCTGAAAGCATCTTTTCGGCTGGATGACGTCTTTGAATATTTGTTGAGAATCTATCAACAATTGCGTTCAATTATGTGTATTTAAGGAAAACAAATTCACTACGAACTTTTCGGAAATGGTTTATAGCTAAGAGGAAAATCCGGGATCATACGTAAACATTTTATTGTAGTGTTTCTTTTCTTTTTGATGAGTATATACACAAACACAACAGAACTCACATAATTACAATGCGTACTTAACTTTCATTTTCTATGGATACTATTGATAACATTAAAGTAATTAGTTAACTCACAAAGTTTTGCACAGTAATGACTTATTTTTTGTGGATACCTATTCAAATGACTTTTTCAAGCTACTAAAATATGGCACTTTTGTTCCTTTTTTAACTCTTTTTTGAAGATTTGTCGTTTTCTCAACTAGGTATGCTGATAAAATTGAACTTTGTAGGCAAAGGGTCCATCGGACCGTTAGATCGTTTCTCTAAGAAGGCTTCACTGAATTAAACAAATTAAAATGTTCAAACCTTTGCTATCATAACGTATACTACAATATTTGCTCGGTAAAGAATTTGTAATCAGTGGGACACGTGTACGGAGAGCGAATGTAAACATATTCTTAATGTACCGTTCAATATGTATGTTGGTAGTTGTATGCAATTTGGTACCAAGTTCAGTTATTTAATTTAACTCTGATAGCTACCTGCTTCATCGTGTATGTACATGTACATGTATAGATGCTCTATGATAATATTTACATACCTAATTTACATACATATACAAAGTTGAGTACAGCTAATTTTTTGGCATGGTTGCTTTCGAACGTTTTTCCAGTTTTTCCTTCAACTTGAAGCATTATCTATATTTCAGGAAGCTGTAAATGGTGAATCGTTTAACATTTGGGCACTCCAAAAGTCCCTGACACGTTCCATTTCGAGCAGAGTATTTATTCGATCTTGTTGTAGACTGGCACTGTCTCTGGATCGGATGTGCAAAGAGACATACGCACATTACTTTAAAATGCATATTGTTACATATAAGGCACTGAGGCGGATGCATTTTGATAACTTTTTTGAACCGCTTCCGTGCAGTTCAGAAAAAAAGCAATCGAATTATTTACATTGGTTCCAAATGAACCGTTTGTGTGTAAAACTATATTTAACAAATGATCTTATGAGTTATTTGGAAAGACGTTGAGGATTTTGTTGTTTGTACTACCAATGCATTGGTAGGATTTAATCGAATGTATTTGTATTTTTTTTAATTTAATTTAATGTTTTTCGAGCAATCGCCTAAGTTCAGATAATTAAAATGAAATAATAACGTTTTTTTTTCAGAAAGTACTTGTTGGTTAAATATTGCATTAGGGAATCACATTTACTCAAAAAATAATAGAAGGCCGCATGTCACAAGGCATGGCATTAGAACTTTCAATTTTCGGACTATTTTTATTCGTTGAATAATTTTTATGAAAGCCGCCTCTAAAATGTTAATAAAACTTTTCAGAATCTCGGATTATTTTACTTTAAATAAATGTATTATTTTGGAAATCATTAGAATTTATCATTCAATACTAACAATTTAAATGGTCGCATCCACGTTGTCAGAACATCAATTTCTTTGATCTAATGTTTGTCTGTTCCCTTTAATGGATCGAATTTTTTTTGGAGATTTCCATACAATACGTAGACACTTTTTTTGAGAATTTACGGTCCTGCGTATTGAATTTGGAAAATTTTTGTTAGACCACGGATATGTTCATATAGTGGACACAATAAGATTTAAAAACTACTTGAGAGGTTCGTCAATTTTATCTCAAATCATTTTTAATAGACACAGTTAAAGTTACAGTAACATATAAATGAACCTAACAAATTATGTCCGGAGAACTTAGAAAACGGGTTCAGAGAACGTCAAAACAGTTCATGAAATTGTTTTAAAGCCTAAAAGTTTACTATTTTGAACCTTTATGTGCGTGAGAAGGTTTTTGATTTTTCTACACCGTGCTATTCGAATAGGAGCTGGATCCCAGATACCTCGTTACGCACATTACGATTGAAAATCAGAGACCATAGGACAGGTCCAGTAGACTTTAATTAGGTCCATTGAACATCGGACCCTCCCGATATCCCGACCCCAGAAGAAAAATTCATGAGCATGAGCATGAGCAACGATGACTGTCAAATTCGTAGATCCTACTCCGCGGTTGAACAAATTCAGTGATTGATCAGTGCTTGGGATTTGCATTCTAATCTCAGTGTGTAAACTCTAGTGAATCAGAACTTTGAAGGTCAATAACGGCCCCGGCCACATCAGGTCATCAGGTAGGATGAAGGAATAGGATTGTCAATTTGACACGGCTGTCACGGCTTGGATGTTTTTGTTAGTGAGATGTAAAAATCATATTCGTCTTCACTTCAATGATGCGATTGGAGGCTAATAAATTGATAATATTTTCAGTGATGTAAAGATCCTCTGATTGAATCCATGATTTTTTGCTCTGTAAACAAAAACGGTCGCCATTAGACCACTGAGCCCCGTGCATCATAGCAAACCACAGCAACCGATGCTCGTTTAAACATGGCGACATAAAGCTATTGAAATGAAATGACGTCCCCGAAAGGAGTGAACTATGATCAAAATTTTACCGAGAGTACCAGTTTTCTGCCGTACAGTTTCGACCGAGTTCTATCAGTGGCTATTTAAATCGTTTCCTTCTACCAATTCAACTTTTATAATAAGATGGAGCCTGAGATTTTGCCACGATCTTCAGCTCAGTACGCAATTACTAGGCCATCGAGCTTCTTACATCACAACATATCACTACGATTGACGATCATTAAAATCCGACAACATGAAGCAATTTAAATGTAATCAATTTGATAAATCATGCGATCGACCAGTAAGTGGTCCGACTACAAACCCTTTTAAAAATGTTATTAGGTGACATAACAGCACCAGCCAGAACGCATAGCATGACTGGTGACTGAGCATATTTGTTTATTTTATTTCGATAATTAGGAATGATAGTTAAAGTCATCCAGAGATATTATTTCACAATTTTATTATTTATGATTAAGTCAGCGGGAAGCGGGAGAGTATCCAACCGTAAACTCTGAGCAATCATACGTCGACTCGACTGATAGAGTGATAGTAATTCAGAGGCACTCCTCAATTTCTTTCCTCTTTCTGCACCTAAGAGGCTCCTCTTTTTTGTCTCGAGATTTTTAGCTAGAATCTGGTTTATTTCCCAAGCATTTATATAATATACTATATTTTCTCAATAAGGAACTTTAAAATGCGATTTTCCAATTCTTAAGTTGATATCGATTCTCGCAGATTAAAAAGCTAGGATAATGTAAAAGTAGACGAGAGCAGGGATTCATGACACATTACTTCAGCTTCGTTATGACATAGTTATGATCTATCTTAAAATTTCAATGAATAGTAAAAAAATCAACAAAACAGTAAATTTTCAGAAATACTTAACAGTGAAAATTGTTCAGGTTTAAATATTCAAAGTGTTGGTTACAGCATTCATAGCTTTTGAAACTGATGAAACACATATGCATCACCAACCGTAAGATTCTATTGCAAATTTGCATAAAAGGTTTGTACAATTTATAACGTTTCACCACATGAATTGATTGGTAAGGTGGTCGTCGGAAGGTTTTTTAAATAATTTTATAATTATTATGTTAGAAATTCTTTGATGCAATGCATGTCTACACGAGATAATTGAATGTTTTATACAAAATATTCATTCTGAAAAAACTTGTTGTTAGAATCATGTACAGAAAATGCAAGAAATTCACACATACATTTGATGTTCATGCCATTTGTTTTGCTTTTATGGTTTAAAACAATTTATTTGATGATTTATCAAAATTTTGCTGATAATGGGATATGTTCAATTATTAACACTGTACGATTTTCACTGCGAAGTATTTCAATGTTTGTTTGTTTTTACAAATGTTTTGACGTTGTATGAGAGATAAAAACTATGTTAAAGCGAAGACAACATATCAAGAAGACTGGAAACTCTCCCATTTTATAATATGAACGGTATGAGCAGGGGCCTGACTGGCGGCCATGTTTTTGATGCCATCAACTGCTCTTGTCTTTCTGCTTACAACACGATTTCCCGTCTCTAGTATACGTCAAGCGGGCCGTATTTAAATAAGGCCCGTGATGTTGCCTACTGTCAAACGTATAGGATTCATATAGGGTTGCCAGCCCCTTGGGTATAGTCCTCTCCAGGCGGGTTCGTATTGGTTCGATTTGCGTGTGTTAGAGAGATGAAATTGTTTGTTAGCTGTGAGAAATTTTTTGTTTGCTGTAAGAACTGTCATTCTAAAGTAAAAATAAACAACAAAACGAAAACAAACCCTACGCTTGCACGGTAACAGTCAAATACCCTTTTATGAGTAAAATTTAACCCATTTTTAATAAAAGTGGCTTTACTCATTAATGAGTTAATTATTTTAACAACAATGAGTTTCTGCTAACAGTATCTAACAGTTACTAATTAATTGACATAATAAATTACTCTTTAATTAGTAGTACCACATTAATTGACAATGGGTTCATTTTTACTCATAAATGGATGTTTGATTCTTACCGTGCACATGACAGTTTACGCTAGTGTGTGTAAAATTATATTATTAGTGTAGTGTTCGTGAGATCCTGCTTGGAGAACTCAATGAGACAGACACAATCGCGTCATCTGATATACAAAGGTAAATGCTCCGAACGATTTGGATAGCAAAGGTTACGTCCTCAGAAGAAAGGTGTATTTACTCATTTTTATATGCGTTACTTCCATCTTCGTTCGCTACTGTATCTGTTACTTGGATTCTGGCAGAGCTGTCAGTGTTCTTGATATGTTGTCTTCGGTAAAAGCGAAGCTGATGTAATGAGCAGTTAAATGTTAAAGTTAAACTAATATACCTATTTCGTTCCTGAGCTATGTTTATAAATTTGAAAAGCAAAAAAAAAAAAATGATGGACGATTTAGACTGTGACTCACTGAATGCATATCTACCCTAATAAACGGGTACCATACACTTACGATATCATAGATGGTGCGAGCATACCACATAAAGTTGGGATGATATCCCGAATTGGTGGTTAGGCGCTTCTTATGGTTATTGTTTATGCGGGTAGTTACTAAAATACATGGTACAATCGTAACCATTGCTGTTCATTTGATCGCTTAGTGTACGGTAACTATCCCAGTTGGATGCACAGAAATCAAAAACACTGAATAGATAATCTTGCTATCTTAGTTGATTGATAAGCAACATTGCATAAGTTCATCGAGAGTGGGTGGGATTAAAACAGCCACCCGAATTGGTGACGGCCCACAGGTTATATTGTCACCAAAATCGCACAATTTCCCTTGGGCTACAAATCGTCTTCCTCAGTCTCTTTCTCTTTCACTTTTTATGGTAATTTGTATTTCCATCAATCAACTGTGTGTTTACTGGGTAGGAAATTCGATATTAAATAAATACACAACAATGGAGGGAGAAAAGAGAGTGATATTTCCTCTCAACAACCATATATACCTCTAGCGTACAATGCATCGGTTGCTGGTTGAGTTATGATGGGGATAAACTTCCAACGATTGAGTGAATCATCGCCAATGTTATTACAGCTTCCGATACATAGCTGTAGGGCACCTTGTATAAGAGTATGCTTTCCTGTTCTGTTTTCACAGGGGATCTTTCATTGTGTTAGGATTGTAAATACGTGTTTTGAAAACTGACATGATTCCCTAGAAAGTGTTTTTTTGATTTGTGGTTGCTGGTGTTTACTAAACACGTAGGTGGATTGTGCCTTTTTTCCATTTGTCATAAAACATACCACCCTAACGCACCGGTTTTGGTGAATACTGAGCAACAAGAAATGGTTGATTGATTTGGGATTGCTCGACATTCAACAGATACACTGACTGGTGTGAAAAAAGGAATAAGGCTTCACGTTTTACCTGGTGTGGAAAGTTTTTGTAACAATCCAATGTTTATCCCTTGGTCTGCGCTTTCCTTTTTTATCCAATTTAATTTATTTCACCCTTAAAATGGAATTGTCGGCTTGCTGATGAACCGCAGCCGTTGTCGGTTTTTATGCTTTGCACAGTATCCCCTTTTTATCGTTGGACGCGTGATATGAACTTGTTGATTATCTTGTCCGAATGTACAAATAAGCCTTTGATTTTGATTTCATTAGATAGGAACAAGCTTTTCGGAATCTGGGTAGCACATAATTTTGATTTTTACTACTCTATAAGCTTCGGTTCGCTTGGGTATTTACAAAGGTACGCAGATAAAACTGATCGTTTCTTAAATCTACACATGTGAAGTGGAATGAAAAATAAATATAGGAATTTGAAGCAACCCATGGGTCTATCGTCCGACATAACTTTGTGGAGGATTTTATTCCAAATTGTGTTAAGGAATTTAGGTTCTGTGTTTTGGATCCCTTGCTGCTAGGATTTTGAATGGGCTAGGTGGCTTCCAAATTGTTTTCTCGGCTCACTCACATGTTGCCTTTCCATGAGACGAAGACAATGTCTACATGTTAAGAACGTTTTGCCGACAGCATTTGCTTCAGCGCAAAAAAGGCGGAAGCACATAGCTGTGACTAACGCCATCCTCGGATTTGACGATGCCGAGCGACTCCGTGTCGTCGCCAGGTTGACACGCAGTAGGTGTACCGTAATGGGACTGTTTGAGCGATGGATCTTCCAGATGGCAGTTACTGGCGTACTTCGGGTCGTCGATGATGTTTACGGCGTGTATGTACTTTGTGTCGTCCACATACTTTCCATTTGTGACGCTGTAACGAGAGGAAGTTATATGAAAGTTACTTCTTGGTGCAAAAACTTGCATTTTAGAAATTGAATTAATCCTTATACTAGTGACTACTATAGATTTTGAACATCTTCTTCCGTGATCTAGTTAAGCAAAAATTACGTAACGCAGGGAGGTCAAGCTTGCGTAACTTATTCTTACATGGGGGAGGGGGTAGTGATAACCAATATTATTTTCGGTTAAATAAATTTACTCACCCCTTGAATAATAAATAAAAAACTAAATAAACACTTTTCTAACTGTTAATTGAAATTTTTCTTATTCATTCCTAGAAAAAGGGGGTAGGGGAGTGAGTTAGCTTTACGTCATTTCAGGAGGGGGTCTTGTCAAGCGTTTTTTAAAATCCTTTTTTTTTTTGAGCAACAAAATTTATGTATCGCACCTTATTTGTAGTATTTATTAAGCTCCTTTGAAATTGCGAGACTATTTACTTAAATCTTTGGTTATTATTTGTTAGGTAGGTTCCGATTCTACACGTTGTAGTTTCATTTCTATACCTGTGATCTTGACATTTTTACCTTGGGGATGAGTACTTAAGGGGGTTAGGTTTTTGATAAGTCTTACGTGGGAATGACACTGATGAAGACTGCACATTATAGTCGAAATGCGTATCTATCATGGATACCAAAATTAATTAAGTGGAATTAAATTGAAGATAACCTTTTTTTGCTGTTTTATTTAAGCATTCCGCCAATTTTATTACTTCACGCAAACTAGTTTTCGAAAAAGGATCTTCAACAAAGTACACCTTCGTAGAAGCAAGTAATACTTTTAACAATAAAAAGTTGAAAAATATTCATTTTGGAAAGAGAGAACCACTTTAGTCACTATTTACAACAAAATGAAGATCTTTCCTTGTAGACAAACTCTTCTGAAATTATCAAACCTCTAGAGGGCATATTTTTCGAGACATCGATTAGTTTCGTGAAATTTTGAGTTGTAGACCCTAGTGCGTTCATGTAAATTTATATCTTTGGCCGTTGAAAAATCAATCATTTCAAATTGAACTTTACACTGTCATGTGAAAACACAGATGCATGTTCAATTCAATTCAAATTAATGAATTTTTAAATGCTTTCATGTAAAATTCAAGTTTAGTTCTTGTACGTTTCTACTGCTGGAAAATACATTAATGTACCATAGATAAGTTTGCAAAATTGTTGCTGTGCAGTTGGCCAGCAGCAGCAAGGAAACAAATGAAATGAAAAAATTGAATTCAGTGGCTTTTTGTTACTTTTGAGGGGCTGTAAAAATGATTGTTCAACGTGAATTGTTCCTTTCTATAATTCTCTATTGCCCCCATCTCAGTGGACTGACAATAAAGTTAATGTTTCTGATATTAATTATTTTATAAGAGATCCATTATATGTAGCAAACACAATGCTGTATTCCCACGATATTAAAGAAATAAACCGAAAATGCATAAAACACTATGAAATTGAAGCTCTGCAGCCTGATGTACCCACATAATGCAAATTGAGTTACAGCCAATGTTGTTCTTACAAGAACATTATTCTTGTTCAACGAATACAAACTAAAAACAAATTCTGCTAGCTTTTCTCTTGATTCTACAGTTTCCGCCTGCAGCATACCACTGCAATACCACGTCCGTTGTAATGTTTTCCTTGCACACCTCGTGTGTTGAACTAAAGTGTATAGATGGGTAAAAAAAGACGATAACCTCCCTTCGGCCAAAGTGAACTTAAATACAGCGCGCTATCGATAAAGTTTGCGTATCGATTATAACGATGGAAATTGACAACAGTTTTCTGGATAGCTGCAACTCTAGGAAGAGCAACTTTTCGCACAGCTCAATAGTTTGTATGTCTGGTTGTTCGATGTACAAGGAAGCTGAGCTGGTCATAAGAAGAACAAGAATCGACGAACTAGTCCCGCGGGCGATAGTCATTCCGTAACACGAGGTTGTGTTTACATCTACATGTTGGTACCTGCATAAAATTTTCCTCTCTATGTGTATTTTTTGTTTGTTTCTTGGACAGTTCTGTAAAAGTTGTACCTACGGAAAGGATTGATCGTTACGTTTAGGTTGAAGGGCTAAGTTTTACGGATGGTTTCCATAAAATAAATGGTTCATTATGGTGAAAACATTTTCTGGCTGGCTGCTCGGTTTAATTCACATCAAAGTTATGTAATACTTCACTAATTTGGGCAATTGGGTTTTTTAAAGAGATTGATTGGAGACATTGGTAGTTTTTGTTTCATGAATATTGGGAACAGTGATTTAAAATTCACAAAGTTTGATGACTTATCAGCTTTTTTGAGGATTCTGCTAAGTACGTCCTAAATTTTGACCGAAGCTACGTCAACATTTAGTTAGACTTTTTTATATTCTCTTTACAAGATGATATTGTATGTCCAATGCTTTAATGATTTCTGCAAATTGTCTAGCATTATGTATTTAAACTTATTTGAAAAGTCTCCCGATGACTACTTTACAGAATTCGTACATGTGGTAATTTATAAAACATTCTTTATATCTGATATATTAACACCGAAAATAAGTGAGACAAAACGAAATATAAAACGAGGATTTTTTTCAGTTTATTCTAAACGAGCACACTAATCCAGGCAATTGCTGTTCGGTAAATTTTGAACTATGAAACTGTTCGGTAAAAGTTTAAAATTCAGTGAAAAATTCATAAATGAGATCATTGATTCCAAAGTTGCGCAGACTTTGTAAGGTTAACCCCATTTAATGATAAACAATAAAAAAAAGTGATTTCTTACGTGTAACGGTCATTTCAAATTTTAACGACTTTTTCAGCTGTTGAAAAACCCGGTAAAATTTTACAGATTTTGGGGATCTGAATTCAGTGTGGTGGTTCTGTAACACCATAGAAATTTTCTCTATCTATCACACATGTATGAATGGACGGTTTATTTTCCCACTTCGATTTAAATGGTGCAGTAGTGTGCGCCGATTAAAAGTAAAAAAGCTCTATACCTCTGCATCTTCATATTTGCCGCTTGAAGGATAGTTGTGTGTTAGTGGGTCGGGTTAAGCCGGCGCCAGTGGTGTAGTGGTAAGCGTGACTGCTTTCTCACTCCAATGGGTCTGGGTTCAATCCCAGCCGAGGTTGGTGGGGTTTTTTTTCGGAGGCATTAAAATCTCTGGTCACGACTTCCTTCGGAAGGGAAGTAAATCCGTTGTTCCCGGCCCATATGTATTGAAAATGGGTACGATATCCTACGCAGGTGTGGGAAGCTGCTTTCGTGCACATTCGATTGCCGTCAATGGATAGCAATAGATGTCCGTCGGTGATTGGCACTAGATTGTGGAACAGAGACCGACGTTAAATAAAGGAAAGAAGAATAAGAAGAAGAAGAAATAGAATGGTTGGGTAGTTTTTGGAACAGCATTCACTGTGGTAAGAGAAACCAGTCGAATATTTAAATTTCAAATCTAATGGAGCTAGAATAAGGCATATATAGTAAAAAATTGCAAAGAAAGGGATGAGTCTGGGATTGAACTACCGGACCTCCTCCTGCTCCTGCTCAGTAAACAGAAACGGTAACCAATATCAAGCCTCGTCGTCGTACCGGGCAATAAATCAAGCTGAACAATACATTAGGCCATAAATAACATTGACAGATTCTCCTCGTCAACTTTCCCCGAGCAGGAGAAAATAACTAATGAATATCAGCATGACATAAGAGTAAAAATACCAAAGAATAAAACAAAAAAAAAACCTTGTTTATATCAAACATTTATATTTGGATATTAAAAAAAAAACCTAGTGATTATTTATTGATTATTTATTGTTGTAGAAAAATATATTTCATTTTCAGGAAAAATATACACGGTAAAAAGTTTCTGGTAAATTTGGGATACCAATCCAAAAAGTGCTAAGAACTTAAATATTAAAAAATGAACCTCATCAAAAGTTTTTGAATATTTTTCATTAAAAATCTTTTGAAAAAGTTTATAGTAGGAGACAATTTTTTTGAGAAATTATGCATAGGAAACAAAAAAAACCTCTTATAATTTACAAAACTTATGGAACAACAACTTTTGGTAAAATTTTAGAACTTTTTGTTTTTGTTTTCTTTTTTTTTGAGATTTTCTCTGAAAAATTGTTTCCTATGCAAAATTTCTCAAAAAATTGTTTAAACAAAAAGTTTAAACATTTGTCCAAAAGTTGTTGTTTAATATTTTTTGTTAATTTTTAAGTGTCCAACTCATAGCGGCGCCGGTGGTGTAGTGGTAAGCGTGATTACCTCTCACTCCAGCAGGCCTGGGTTCAATCCCAGTCGGTGCCTCCGGGATGTTGTTTTCCGTGCTGAGGACCAATGATACCGACGCCAGGGAGGTAGCTCCCACACCTGGACACTACATATCGACCCATGAATTCATGAACCGGGGATCAACGGCTTTACTTCCTTTCCGAAGGAAGGCTTGATCAGAGATGTTATGCCTCAGAATATCCGGTTGCGCCGACTGGGATTGAACCCAGGCCTGCTGGGGTGAGAAGTAATCACGCTTACCACTACACCACCGGCGCCGCTATGAGTTGGACACTTAAAAATTAACAAAAAATATTAAACAACAACTTTTGGACAAATGTTTAAACTTTTTGTTTAAACAATTTTTTGAGAAATTTTGCATAGGAAACAATTTTTCAGAGAAAATCTCAAAAAAAAAGAAAACAAAAACAAAAAGTTCTAAAATTTTACCAAAAGTTGTTGTTCCATAAGTTTTGTAAATTATAAGAGGTTTTTTTTGTTTCCTATGCATAATTTCTCAAAAAAATTGTCTCCTACTATAAACTTTTTCAAAAGATTTTTAATGAAAAATATTCAAAAACTTTTGATGAGGTTCATTTTTTAATATTTAAGTTCTTAGCACTTTTTGGATTGGTATCCCAAATTTACCAGAAACTTTTTACCGTGTATATTTTTCCTGAAAATGAAATATATTTTTCTACAACATTATCTAAGACGCCACTCCGATTGAAAGTGACGTTTCCGAGTTAAGATTTGTTGAAAAATGTCGAATACGCCATTTTGAAATTTGACTGAAAACGGCCGAATTTTTGCTCAAATGTGAATGATTGACCATTCAATCGAAATAGAAATATATTCTATGAAGGAATCTCAATTATGTGTTTTTGTATAAGATTGAGGGCTACAAACATATTTAAAAGTGATAAGAATAAGGTTACATCTTAGGAAATATATTACGAAAAAAGGAGATTGTAAAAAAAAAACACAGCATAATAGTAATATAGCGGCAAGAAATCGATTTTCATGGGCTATTTTTTATGAAATGGCTCTTATTGCCATGATTTGCAAACTGAATTGTTTTACTATAAAGCTATTTAGCTATTTTCAAAACCGTTTAGTTTTGGTAAAAAAGTTGCATGGAAAGTGTTTGACTGTTCGTCTGGATCTCGAGTCTGTTGACGAATCTGCTTCGGCACTGACTCAGTGTTGGATTTAGGATTCGGGATGACCAGATAAATTACAAAATATAGTCTAAATTTCACTCAAAAATAGTAAAAAATAGTGTGAAATGTTCACGTTAAGTCTGATATTGTTTTTTTTTTTTTATTTACGAGGCTTAAAACAGTGGTCATGCTCCTTTACTTAAATAATTGTCTTCTCTCTACACTAAGCTTCAGAAAAGACCTTTATAAGCTTTCTTTAAAATCAATCGTTCAGCAAACAAAGAAATCTCAGCTTTTCGTCAGTTATAGATGCCCTCGATTTTCTTTTAATCAAAGTTCATGTTTTGAAACATTTTCCACATGAACAATTGGTGACCACTAAGGTAAGATATATTTGCACACCAACGTATACATTCGAGAGCACAGCAGCTAGCTTTTCAGTATTAAGAAAATGTTCATGTAAGGATGCTGTCCTAATCTTAGTTAATGCTACAAACTGAACGATTTCATCTGGTATCTATTACCAATGTTCTTTCTAATATAATTGTATCTGAACTTAACCTCTTCAATTATTACTACTGAACGTAAAATCGATATAATTTCCATTATCACTACAAAATATGATAGATTAAGGTCAGCAGGCGTCTGCACCGAATAATATTATTAAAAAGTTATATCCTGCGCTGATGAACCAACAAAAGAGACAGAATTACATAAATGGAGAAAGAGTGCTACAACTCCGAATAGTTGTATTTAACAAATTCATTACGATCAGCATCAAAGTTATCCAAAGTCTTCAGCTTTAAAATTGCTTATTTAGCATTTAATCATTTCAAATTGTTTGTTGGGAAATTAGCTAATGGCACCAAGTGACACTGCTGGTGGTGGCAGTGGAATGGTGACCGCTGATGAATTGTTGACACATTCTGTAGATTTCAGATCATTAAAATTGTTTATTTATGTGGTTGATGGCTTGTTAAATCATAATTGTGTAGGTGTTTAAAAAAAATTACTTCATTTTCCGATTGAAAGCAGCCCTCACTTTAATTTCTTGTCAGCTAGCCTCTATGCGGATAAATCTTTTTGAATTAAATTTGTTATCAGAGTGTTGATGGATTTTATGATACGCTTAATTTATCCAAAAATAGAACAATATATGCGTTTTTACTCTCATCTACAACCAAATGGTTTTATGGATGCTTTTATAACGATAAAACAAATCATTGTGTAATCTGGTTTATGCTATGCAATGCTTTTATAATGTTGAATCAAACTCTTTGAAAAAGTTTTTCTTCAAAACATAGTATCTCAAAACACAGGACTTAGTAACGACATCTCTCGGGCTTCTCGCGGAAAACTAGCTTGGTCGCTAATTCGCAAACAATATTGCATAAACGTTCTATAGTATGTATAGAAACGTCCAAGTGATTCGATGCCAGCGCTGCGGCGAGTAGTTCGCGGAACTGATAACATTCAAATCAACCGTTAATTGCGTGAACGAAGATACACAATTAAGTGTTACGTCTGTTTGTCTGTGATAAAACCATAATAAGATAGAATGGAAGCTAAACGGTTGTTGAATTGTTATATAGGCTCTTAGCCTAGTAAGTAAAAGCGCGGCTACTAAGCAAAACCGTGCTGTTGATTGCGGATTCGATTCCCGGATCAGTTCTGGAAAAGCTTCTGGACTTCTCTGGCCATGGAGTATCATTTTCATTACAAACAATATGTTTACGAATGTAGAAATGAAACAGGTTTAGAACGCTCTAAAATGTGGAAGTGCTCGAAGAAAACTTAGTTGATGGCAGCCGTAAGCATAATCGCTAAGAAAGCTATTTTCTGTCAGTTACGTTCAACCCGTTCTGCATTGCGCCCTCATAACATGTGCTCATACCGATTTCATTGAACGGATTATACCAAAATTCGAAAAAGAGTTCTGGCAACTCTGGCCCTAAGGTTCAATTTGAGATGGAATAACCATAAGTGGTTCTAAATTTCTTTACAGGATAATAGAATTCAAATTTAATTAGCATTATGTACATTCGTCCAAACTTGCCAAGCGGTTTTATTTAAAATTTCTTCAATGTCATTTATATGCTGCCTAATCGGCACTTATCTAATGTTGGACAATAAACACCACAACAGAATGAAGTTTTCGGCGAGAACCCTCATCAAACTGTGATTAATCATTATTGGTTTATTGTATGTAACCACAGCAGAAAGGTTTTTTGTTTGAATGAAAAGCGACCCTTTTCGGTGTGATTGATTTATCATGTGTAACGTGCCAATGTCCTTTTTTCGTTGGGATTGAAATATGACAAATTACGTTCAACGGGGATTTCTGTTGGGAATGCCAAAATGTGACCGCTCTCTGGCTCAAGTACTGTCGAATGTATAAAGTGGGCCGTAACAGAGCCAAAAAGAGCGACCACTAGGGGGAATGAGTAGGTAGGTTAGGTACATGTGTGTTTTTAATTTCAACGTTGGTTGGACAAAGGCGTGAAATGGTTGAAAGCGAAATATTTGGTAGCCGCGTATGGTTGACCAAAAAAAAAAAAAAAAAAACCATGGAGAAAAACAGTCACTTGCAACATCTAGCTACAGCAAACAACATTGCTTCTATTCCCATGACGGGAGGATGGATATTGAACCGGACGAGCTCACCATGTTACACGATACATGAGGCCTAACAAGACTGGTTGTGGGGTGTGGGTAGGAGCGTTGGTGTCCGGTGAATGAAAACCGGTCCACAATTGGCCATGGCATGTTTGAGTTAGAGGCTCTTTTGGCCATATGGCAAGTACAAATGAAAAAGCTTCAATTGTTTCAAATTTATTATCTCTGAGCCATTTTGGGACAGGTTCAGATTTAATGCGATTCGTTTCAATATAACCGGGTCCCTCCAGAGTGCCTCGAGCATCGGTGTTTCCGGTGTGGTAGAAACGGAAATCAGGGACTGTGATGGCCAGTGAAATACTGTGGAAACGATATATTTAGGTTCTCTCATGGCAAATGAAGTCAAGAGGCTCTTTTGCGTTGGGAGTATAGATGCTCGGCTATGGGCATTTGCCATATGCATTTTAAATCTCGGCATGAAGAGTATTGTCTCTAATTCTCCGTAAATAATCGTTGATTTTGTTTCATTTCCGAAATGGAAAGTAGTGTCTCCTGAACAAATTGTTCTTTGTGATAAATTTCATCAGGAGCAAGAGAAGAGTGATGCACACCGTACAGTTTGTTATATAGATAGCATATAGTGTAGGTTTCAGGACTTACCCATCCGACACAGTGCAGTGCGTATCGAACTTATCGTCCAACGATGCATAGTGTTCAGCTTTGTGATGTGGTTCTTCGGTCTCTGTCCCTGTTCTTGACGGACTGCCGTAATCGAAATGCTGTCTTACCGGGAATAATTGACTTTCGTGCACGTAAGTACCGTACTGGGTGGTGAAGGAACCATAAGGGCTAGCGGCAGGAGACAGCAGATTGAAGTGAGGGCTTAACTCATATGGTGTTTGGTAAGTGGGCCAACTTTCTACACTACTCGGTGGAGTTACCGTCGTAGTTTGCGGAAACTGTGTGAACGTAGTGCCAATCGGACCGTTCATTGGCGTTGATGGACTGTTATTGCCCATATAGGCCGACTTCCTGGGCGGTTCGCGTTTCCTCCATTTGGCACGACGGTTCTGTACGGGAAATGAGTTGAAGGGGAGGTTAATTGAATTGTTTGTAGTAGTAAATTTCTTCACAGCTTGTGCTACGTACCTGAAACCAGACTTGCACTCGAGATTCACTTAAATTGAGCTTCATAGCAAGCTCTTCTCGTGCGAAAACATCAGGATATGGTGCTCGTTCGAAAGCCCTCTCTAACTCTTCCAGCTGGTATGCCGTGAAGGTAGTCCTGGAAATGAATGGTCACAAAATGATTGAGAAAGAAACATCACTACTAGATCCAGATAACGACAAAGTTCAATCTATGTTGAAGATTGAGATGTATCTAGTATATGCAAAGCGATAAATGTAAATTTGGTCCATGGATGTGGCCCTTGTGCATTGTAACTAAAGGAAAGAGATTTGCTCGAATCGAGAGCTCAAACAATGCTGAGAATGCAGCTCGTTTCATGCATTATCCTTTTACTGTCATTTCTTGCTAGGATAGGACGAGTTGTATCATGGTTGTTCTGACGCACTGTGGAGTGATTTTCAATTCTATTCTAATCGCATTTTCCAACAGATAGACAAATACTTTCTAAAAGGACAAGTTGGTCTTGCAGTTTCGTTTACAGTGCTCACATTGTAGCTGTGCCTCTTCCAATACCGAGCGCAAGCATGGCAAAGGAATCGCAATAACGTAGTTCTATTTATTTTATCAGCAGCTTTTATGTACTGTTACTTATAGCAGTGTTAGCATAAGGAATGTCTATCCTGCTCCGATATAAATGAATACAAATGTCCTGCTCTTGATATTGTCATCTTACCTCACCGGAGGGAGATTCTCAGTGCTCCTGTTTCAATCTCGATAGAGGTTTTGCTATTTGTTGTATTGTACGTATGTTCGGTCATATCCTTTGCTGCGCTCAGTTCTTCTTCAACATGAAATTTTGATTGTCGAACATACATCCTAATCTGCTTTGTATCTTTGCTAGACAAGTGCAAACAGCTGTCATGATAAGACGATGCTATCCTGTTGGATGCCTGAACTAGAAATGAGGATTGCGTTCCTTGAAGTTTTGGGATGCTGATGTAGGATGTTTATTTTGGGGATTGCTTCAGAACGACTAGCACAGGCTGCGTAGTCAATGTTTACAAGATGATTTTGTTTGGTCTTCATTTAATGTTTGGTGACTTCAGCTTATATGGCAAGGAATTGTTAGTCTACTAATGAAGCCAATAATTTGGTTCTAAATCATTTATCTGGACCACTCCGATTCTTCAAGTTACGGAAGTCTTTTACTTTAAAAAAAGTTAAGTTGAACAGAAATCTTGAAATTATATATTGTGTTGCTTTGTTCAAATTTTGCGGAAATATGTATCTTTTTATTACATTTTGCCAATCATCGACGCCAGCGAGTGTGATAGTTGTGATGGTGATTTTTTTCCTTTGTTTGAGACATACATCTATTGCGACCAGTAATTTGATCTGTGCCGTGTTCTAAGTATAGTGCATATAGTATTACTCCATCACCATAGAGCAATGATAAAGTATTCGGTTTTGATACAGTTGCCATTCTTGCCTTTATCGCAAGGTTCAGTTTCTAATCATTTTCTAAAAATGACATCGATATTAATCATGCATCAGGGCCCTAGTCTTAGCCACTTTACACTAGAGAACACGAATAAAGAAGACTAAACCATTTGTCCTTGTTTTAATCCTCGGGGGAAAAAACCTGAGTATTGTCCTGTTCTCCCTAGTTTTTAGTAGTCAGGACTAGGGTTTTGTGGTATATCTTTCACACAATGCACCACGAAAGATCCACTCGCATTACGAAGAATATGATATTGATATTTTTGGGATTGTCACAAATGAATTAAAAGTTACATAAACAAACGCATCGTTAAAAAATCGTGATTTTTTCGTCAGCGGCAACATTTCAAATTGCAATAAAGTTTTATTTCACTCACCCTTATTCAAATTACTTTTATCTTTGCAGCTAAGAATCAAGATGCGATCCACTAAAAAAAAATCCACCGATGAAACATGTACAATAAATGTCACTGAAAAACGAAATAACATCTCTAGGTGATCATTTGCATATCATGATACTGACAAAATATGTTTGGAGAATGGTTAATCTGCATGGCCACTGATTAATTAGCAGGGATCAATATTTAACATGGATATTATTTTTTTCCAAGTGAATGTTAACAAATATTATTGCATTAGTAGTTGTTTTTATGCCATCTAATACTTTTTTAATCCACAATATTTTTCGTTCCACCTCAATTTAGCTCAATTCAACTTCACGTAGCGTTGATTCAACCACACAATGATTTTCAATGGGAAATCGTACTCATTTTTGTTGAGTGGCCAATTAATTTAAATAGTAGGTATGTTAGTATGAAAGTATTGCAGAGTCAACCGCTTTACTCCCATGGACACATCTTTTATGGAAGGTTCCAAAGAACATAGAATAGTTATGCATTCACTGGTAGAATAAGTTTTTGTTTTTGTTTTTTGTTTTGTTAGTCACTTTAACACTGTTTTTCATCCTGTTCCGTTACCCCTCACTTCCACTCACTAAGGATATAATGGTTACATTTCCCCTTAATTTCCCACCGATCGAATACCCCTGCTTTAACGTTCATTCGTTACTTGTCTGGGATGAGAACTCTTGACCTTTAGCATGAGAGGAATGGATGCTAATCGCTTCGCCAGGCCCGTCCCAATGTAGATCTTACTATATTTATTACTAAATTAATTCCTGCTTTTCACAAGCAGACCTGGGATCATTTCATTGAGAATATTGATTAATTGTGTAATTTATATGAAATCATATGACGATCATAATAACTTTGAAAATCATCTTCTATAACTCAATGTAAACTTGGTGAATATTGAGTTATGGAGAGTTATTTGTCTTACGAAAAATTACGCTATGTTACTTCAAATTTCAGTTACAGTCAAACGTTCCAGATGATTCAACGAAATATTTGGATGTTCTAAAATTGTAGTGCTGATGTAAATGTTTAATTTTTATTATTTTTATTTGCTTTTTTTAGACAGCGAGCCTTAGGTCCAGGACCAATGATCACATCCGACCATGTTTCGAGAGTCCCAGGGAAGTGGCTAGTTCCTGACTAGGACCAAAACCCATCATCAGAATTTAAAAAAACAAGATCAATGATAGACATGTTCCGGATACCCCCGAAGAAGTGGCCAGTTCCTTAAAAGGATCAAAACCCATCATGCGGTTTATCAAATCACATCAGAATTAAAACACTAAACCAAAGAAAATAAAACCAAGTGACCAGTACCACATTACACGGTGCAGGATGGGAATTCAGCAGGAAAGTGGTCCTTGCAGGGAAAACATTTACTTTGGCTTATTCGCCCATTTTTGACCTATTCAGCCGAAAATATCAAATATATCTATGATTTCAGCGTTAACGATCCAGTTATACGTTTTTATATTCTATTTTTGCCTTCTTCCGTATGCCGTAGTGATTCCAATGGCGTTTCAATGCATTTGTACGAAATTGAAACCCGTAGGCCCAGTTTAGAATCAAGAAGCAGTGTTGTATCTGTATCAAAAGGTACATACATTTAGAAGTCATTTTTAGTAAAAACATTACATTTTGTATGAAAATCTAGTCGAAAAAGCGGGGTAATGAGCGGTTTGTCCTTAATAGGCCAAACATTAGTTCTAAACCCTACAATTGTTTTCGTTTTAGACTTTTGATGTCTTCGGTGATGTTTTTGTGCTGGAAAACGCTTTAATTTGGGTTATTACTAACATGAGGGTGGCCTCAACATTAATTTATATTCAAATACTTTTTTTTTTAAATAAAGACACTTATTCTTCATCAAAGTTATTTTGAACATGAGCATGATTAACAACCCTCAGTTGCTACTCCGTTGCTTCCAGATCACCTGTAATTACACAGATAACCAACAAATGATGCTTGGGATAAGCATAAATCTTTAATGTTGAAAATGTGGTGATTTCAAACTAGCGTCAGCCACGTCCGAATGCAGGTAAATTAAGGAATGGATACGAATTGTTAAAGTGATAGTCGAGAAATTTTCTGCTTTTCCAAACAGTACGCAGAATTGATACGAAGGAAAATTATTGTCAATAATACTGAGGTGCAGTGAATCCAAACACATAAAGCAACCAACGATGAAGCAAAACGCTTGCTACTACAACCACGATAAAGCGGAGTTGTAGAAGGATAATGATATATTGCTTGCCTACTTTGTTGCAATATACAAGTTTGAGCAGATAACTTGATCGGAATCGAGAAAAGACATGACAAAACAAAACATTACCATCTTCGGTGTTACTTCGTGAAGCAGCTTGCCAACAATTTGGTCGTTTCCTTCTACCGGCCCGAGCGAGCTTATTGGCTCACTACTTGACTAGCCTATTGGTCCCAAGCAAATCGATGTCCGTACCCCATTCTAGTATAATTTCCAATACTATACTTTGTTTGTTTGTTTTGATTCGCTATGAATGTTTGACAGATAAAATGAGGGGTTCGTGGATTTTCCTATGATTCGAGGGGTGCATCGATTAGCTTGGGACCGAAGATAGTACCAGAGATGAGCCAAAAAGTTGAGCTCGTTTCTTTGGGACCTTCTGGTCATAGAGTTACCTCTATGATAGGATGGCGTACTTTAAAAAAAAATCCTAGACCATAGCATGCTCTAATAACAAATGGCATCAGCATAAAAAACAAATTAAAATATTTTTGCATGTGAAAAATCAAAAACTTGGTAGCTTTTCTTTTAAACGGTGTACATATCCTCCGTGTAAAAAAAGACCTAAGTGTATATCATTATTGCATTACATTTCTGACATAGCGTTATCGTTTGGCTGTCATTTTGTCATTTTGAGATATTTTTGATTCCTTGTTGAGGTGTAGATACACACTTAAACAGAGACCCTGACTTCGGTAAAAAAATACCGTCTGCTACGTTAGTAAGTGTTTTTGTGAAAATAACATAGTTAAATGATGGAGGCTGTTATGGAACAGCTGCAACACCAAGATGAGCGAATCGTAGATATTTTCCGTAAGTTATGAATTTTCGTTATCAAAATAAATACCCATTACAGATGGCCGATGTGGTTGCTTGTTTTTTTTTCTGTCGGTCGCAAGTTCCATATCCGTTGGCAACGATTTGAAAACAGCATTTGGAATCTTCATCCAATGCTTCCCTGATTAGTGTAGCGCTGAATC